AAATAAATAATAATTAAAAAAAAAAGGAGTAGCTGGTGAACCAAGAGGAATTGTTGACCTGAAACAGGACTGAGTGTCTAGAGGAGGAGGGGCTGTTTCTTTGGCTGGACACTTCAGCCAACCTGGAGACTGGGAAAAGCATGAGAGCATGAAGGGAACAAAGGTGCTGGGGACCTTTGTTCTAGGCACTGAGATGGGTCACTGATCTCTGAATCCTGCAGCTGCCTGGAAAAGCCATGCTCATTGCCGTTTTAGAGGTGAAGGGACTAGGGCCTGGGGAGGGGGAGGTGACTTGCTTTAGAATCCCAGGCTGACTCAAGGATTGGACCATTTCTTGAACCAGGAGAGAAGCTGGCCTTGCCATGGCTCAGCATAGAATAGGAACCCCACTAATGTTCCCGGAATGAGTCGATCGACACACACGTGGTTGGCGGCTAGGCGGCTGGATGTCAGGTAGGGTACTCCCCAAGCTAGATCTTGAATCACTCCTGGATCAGATAAAATCCTTTTGTTTGTTTTTTTATTGGGGGGTGGTAGGTAATTAGGTAATTAATTTTTTTTCCTTTAATGGAGGCACTGGGGACTGAACCCGGGACCTCAGGCATGCTAAGCACGTGCTCTAACATTTGAGCTATGCCGTCCCCCTCTGATAAAATCTTAATCCCTGAGAAGGGAAGGCTCCAAAGCCCTGTGAAAGTGAAACAAGCTTCTCAAAGCCTCCCTAAGCCCCCCTTCTGGGTTGTAGGAAGTCTACCACAGACCTCACGTCATCGTCAGCTTCCCCATCCAGAAACCCAACCTGATATATTTCCTGTCCTTCCCAGCCTCCCCAACCCTAGCTGCCCTGCCCAGTAGCCCCGGGATGCATCCCCTGCTCTCCATCAGTCCTCTTCCCGCTTTGACTCGGACCACATCATCCCCACCTGGACCATCTCATCAAATTCTTAACTGGTTTCTCTGCTTCCAGACCCACTCCCTTTGACACATTCCAAACCCGCCACAGCTGGGACCATTCTGAAACGCAGACTAGGCCCTTTCCCGTCTGGCCAGGGGCTTCATTCTCTCAGGCTCACTGCCTGGATCTGTGGTTGTAGACGCTCCACAATTCAGCGCTACCTGGCTTCTCTGGGTGTCTTTGTCTTCTGTGACTTTCTCCATCACAAGTCCCCTCTCCTCCAAATGCCCCCCAAGACACACAGACAGACCCACAGACACCCAGGTGCATGGCTAGGCCGAGGGGGGTTTAGGTGATTCCCTGGGGGGTCCTGTCAGGCCAACAATAAGGGAAAGGGGCCGGAGGCACAGAATCTCTGGGGACACTGGGAACAAGGTATCCGAGTGGCATCAGAGTCTCTGCCTGGGGGCACGGGATGCGTCTGTACCCTCCTTGCCGGGTCTGGGTCACCAGTCAGGCTGAGTATGTATGTGGGGGAGGGGAGAGCCTGACCGCAGACTCCCCCTGCAGAGCTGACGATTAGCAATTAACTGGGAGGAATCTGGAGTGGGAGTAGTGGTGATGTTAATCAGGGAAAAGTGAGGGGAGGGCAGCTAGGGTTCTAGGGACTTTGCCCTTGACCTGAGGGTATAAGGAGGAGGGTCCCAGCTTCTCCTCAGGCCCCTAGGGCTTCCTTGAGCAGCTGAGAGGGAGCGGAAACACAGAACCCCTAGGTGAGTACAGGGTCCTCACATCCCAACCCCATCTCCAGCTCTTAGTAGGAAACAGGCCCTCACCTCTGTCCTGAACATATAACTCTTCCTGCCCCAGCCTGGCTCACTCCTCCAGAGCAAAAGGACTCATGCTCTTCCAGGGCTGGGAATTCAGCCCTGCATACTGACACCCGCAACTCCAACAGCCAGGACCCTTGGAACAATGTTGGGGGCAAGGGCTGGGGGGGTGTTAGGAGGCAGGGGGACACTCCCACTCCAACAGCTGAGAACTCCCATGGCAGTCCAGGGGGGCCTAAAGCAAGTAGGGGGCTTCCTGGACTTGGGGACAGGGTGGGGGCCCCCCTTAACTAAACCAGTCCTGGGCTGAGCATGTTTCATGGGAGAAATGCCATTTGTTTATTGCTGGGGGTGGGTGGGAGGGGATGGGGAAAGAAATTCACTGTGCCCCCCGGGGCTCTCTGGTGGCCCCTATATATGTCATTAGGACACTTGTCCCCATTGCGAAGATCCATCTGTTTGGGGAATTATTTCATTGCCGTCTGTCTCCTCAGTAGACTTTGAGCTTCCTGGTGGCAGGAGCTGCATCCGTTTTTTGCCAGCTGTACCCCAGCACCTAGCTCAGTGCCTGAGATGGGGTGGATATCAGTGAATACTTGCTGAATGAATGAATGAATGAATGAGTCAGTCAATGAATCCCCCCATCTGGGCCAAGCATCTGAGTGAGCATCTCTGGGTGTGCATGGGGGTGGAGGGTGAGCTTCGTGGGTGTGTGTTTGGGATCACACACCATGAGTGTTTGTGCGTGTGGATGTGGGGGAGTGGGAGCGTGTGTGTGTGAGTTCCTAGGACGCAGCCGTTGTCACTCAGTGTTGCTGCGGCCCTCTGATGTGCAGGGCCTACAGCGTGTGCCCAGGATGATGTCCTATGGAGAGAGGCTGGGGGGCCCGGCTGTCTCCCCACTCCCAGTCCGCAGGGCACACATGGTGTGTGGGGCAGCCTTTGCCTACGTGCCCAGCCCGCAGGGTGAGTGCTGCTCCCACCCCTGGACCCTGCCTGCCCACGGTTGCCCATGTCCCGGGTGAGGCCTCCACCCCTCCACCTACCCCTCCCACCCTCCCCGGGATGTGGGGCCTCTGGGGGCTCCTGACCAGCCTCCCTCCCCAGTCCTGCACAGGATCCCGGGGAACTCGGCCTATGCCTTCCCCAGCCTGGGCCCTGTGGCCCTCACCGAGCATGGCTGCCCTTATGGGGAGGCTCTGGAGTGTCACAACCCGCTGCCTACCAAGCTGGCCCTGGAGGATGAGCACAAGCCAGGTGGGCCTGGGTCGGGGTGGCAGTGGCATCGGCAGCCCCTGGCCCAGCACCCCTACCCCCACCCGGCTGCCGTGCTCACAGGTGGCCCGCCCATCTCCAGAGCCCGGCTTGGCCCAGAAGCTGCGCTGGGCTGGCGTGACGCTCCTCAAGGTGCCACTGATGCTCGCCTTCCTCTACCTCTTCGTCTGCTCCCTGGACGTGCTCAGCTCAGCCTTCCAGCTGGCTGGAGGTAGGGTCGGTGGGGAGGAGACCAGGGAAGGGTTCTGAAGGGTCTCAGACAATGCTGGCTTGTGCTCCCCAGGGAAGGTGGCTGGTGACATCTTCAAGGACAACGCCATCCTGTCCAACCCAGTGGCGGGGCTGGTGGTGGGGATCCTGGTGACCGTGCTGGTGCAGAGCTCCAGCACATCCACCTCCATTGTCGTCAGCTTGGTCTCCTCCGGCTGTGAGTTGGCTCACCAGCACCGGGGAAAGTGTGGGGGGCTGGCTATGCTGGACCAGGGGCTGGGGTGGGAGGGACAGGATGGGGGGCAGGAGGCTGAGGGCAGTGGGCAGCTCTGGCATTTCACACTCTGTCCTCCAAAGCAGGGCCTGGAGTCTCAGCCAGGAGGGGGGCTCCAGGAGCTGGGAAGAGTGGCAGATGGGGGCTAGAGCCCCAGGAAGGCTCACCTCCGTGGAGTCACTCAGCCACCAATCAGTGGAGCAGAAGCAGAGAACCTGCAGGACATATGCAGGGGGCTAGGATTTATTGCAAGAAATTGGCTTACGTGACTGTGAGGCTGGCTGGGCAAGTCCAAAATCTGTAGGGCAGGCTGGAACTCTTGGGCAGCAGCCGGAGCTGCGGTGCACAAGTGGAACTTCTTTTTCTTCAGGGAAGCCTCAGTTTTGCTCCTAAGGCCTTTAATCTCATTGCACGAGGCCCAACAGAGGTCAATCTCCTTTAATTAAGGTCAACTGATGGTTGAGACAAATCCCATCCACAAAATACCTTTACAGCAACATCTAGATTAGTGCTGGATTGCATAACTGAGTACACACGCGCACACGCAAGCACAGAGACCACTTGCGTACAGGACCCACGCCCCCATGTACACGCGCCCACACATGTGTTCACATCTGCGCAGGGGGTGCCTCAGTTTACGTGCCCGCACACACGTAAACACACAGCACGTGCCCCCGTGCACCTGCGACGCCAAGCCTGGGCGCAGCCAGCAACCTGGCAGGAATGCCCGCTGGGGGCCTGCATGTGGGTAGTGGGTGTGGTCTTGCTGGAGGGGCTGCAGTGGCAGGAGCTGGGTGGTGCCCACCCAGCCAGTTAAGAGGCCCCCTCTTCTACCAGTGCTGGAGGTGAGCTCTGCCATCCCCATCATCATGGGCTCCAACATCGGCACCTCCGTCACCAACACCATCGTGGCCCTGATGCAGGCAGGGGACAGGACTGACTTCCGGCGGTGAGGGGCCTGTCCTTGTTGGGGGAGGGTGGTCCCAGCTGCCAGGAGCCCCCAGCCTGAGTGCATCCTGGCTCCGGCCAACCCTGCAACCCTGGCCTCCCTGCCCAGGGCCTTTGCAGGGGCCACGGTGCACGACTGCTTTAACTGGCTGTCAGTTCTGGTCCTGCTGCCCCTGGAGGCTGCCACTGGGTACCTGCACCACGTCACTCGACTGGTGGTGGCCTCCTTCAACATCCGAGGCGGCCGCGACGCCCCTGATCTGCTCAAGATCATCACGGAGCCCTTCACTAAGCTCATCATCCAGGTGGAGGCAGGGCTGGCATGGTGTGGGGGGTGGCGGAGGGACAGCAGGGCCCCGCCCTCACCCCCTCCGCCCACGTCTTGCCCACAGCTGGACCAGTCTGTGATTACCAGCATCGCCACGGGGAACGAGTCCCTGAGAAATCACAGTCTCATCCGGATCTGGTGCCACCCAGACCCCGTGGAGGTGAGTCCCAGGCCTGGCCTCAGTGAGAAGACCCCTCCTCAGAGAGCTGACTGCTCGCGTTATCCTCTGTTCAAAAGCTCCATGGAGATCATTTCGCTTGGGAGGACAAACTCGGGGCACTTCTGCTGTGACACTGTGCCCGTGGCAGATGATGCTACTCCCTGTCAGCCTCACACCACCTTCAGACAGCCGTTGCCAGTCACTTCGAGTCAGCACGTCATCGGTCGAGCCCAGAGGTCAGTTCTCAAAGTGTGGACCAGCGGCACACATACCACCTGGGAGATGCAAAGGATCCGGCCCTTTCCTGGACCTGCTAAATCAGAAAAAACTCGGGTGGGGCCCGGCAGCCTACATCTCATCAAGCCTTCTAGGACCGTTCCATGCTCAAGTTTAAGGGACCACTGATCTGGCTCAACACTCTGGTTTCACAAGTAGAGAAACAGGCTCCAAGAGGCTAAGAACCTTGCCAGAGCTGCTTCTGCCGCGTCGGGGCCCCAGCACAGGCCTTGTAGTCTACGGTTCTCTCTTCCCTGGCTTCTAGGGGGTCAGTGACTCAGCTCTGCCGTGTTTGGGGGCCCCGGACATGCAGGGAGGGGGCGGGAAGACAGTGCTATAAGGATGCCTGGGGAAGCAGGAGCAACAGGAAGCTGCTCCAGGAGCAGGACGAGCGGGCCGTGGAGACCTCACACTACAGCCACATGTGCCCCTTCCCCTGGAGAATGCAGTAGACCTGTATCCCCTTGTCCTGCTGCACTCCTGCGGCTTTTTGACTTCTACTGCCCGGAGGGAGGGTCTGTTTTGATCAGCTAGACACTTGTAGACTGGCCATTACCCCAGGCTAACAAGCAAGCAGGCAATCAGCACACTCTCACTCAGCCATGAAAAGAAAAATGTTTCATCAAAACCGGAATCCACGGTGTTTGCTTCCCCTTGATGATGCCATATGAGAAGTAACTCCATTTAGAACGAGAAACAAGGAAACCTGGAGCCCAGGACACAGTGCAGCCTCTCCACTTGCTACTTGATGTGCCCGGACTTCATCCCAGTGTGAACAGAGAACATCCTTTCAACCGGCCCAGCGAGGTTCCTTCACATGGGAGTGGCATACAGCTCCAGCTCAGTCCTTCTGAGTGTTCAAGGCAGTTTGACATCAAAAAGCCCATGCAGACAGCTTTCACGTCAGCTTTGTGACCTTTGTAACACAGGCCCCGCTTCTCACGAGCTCTCTAGGCACCCTCCGAGCTCTCTGAATCACCAAAATCATCTCTGCTTCATAGCAAAACCTGAAAGAGAGCAAAGTCACACACTTTGAGCTTCACAAAAAACAAGCTGGGGAAGGGAGCTCCTCGGCGTGGCTGTCCTCGCTTCCTCTGAAATCCCCACTGCCCGCCTGCAGCTGCATTCAGGCGGTGTCCCCTTGCAGGACGCACCGCCAAAGGTAGCCGTCATCCGATGGAATCCTCAGTGATGCTGGTGAGGTGGACATAAGTCTCCTGTTTCCCACCAGAGGGACCTGAGGCCTGGAAACAGGAAGTAACCCACCCAGTTTCCCTGGGGCTGTCCTCACGTGCTCCTCCACTGTCCCTACTGCCACCTGCCTGAGCCCTGGTTTCTCGTCCCAGCTCTCCTGGGAAATCTTTCCTCAGAAGCAGGGTCCAGATCGGATTTCCTTGGCTTGGAGAGTAGCTGGGGGTGGGAGGTGAGCTCCCTGTTCTCGCCCCCAATCTCTGGGACAGTCCCCTCGGGAAGGCGGCTCACGCAGCCATGTGCGTGCTCTTGGGAGGTGATGTACGTTGACAGCTCCTTCTGCTCTAAAGTCTCAAGTTTCCCCTTTCCACCTGTTCTCATTGCCTCCAGCTTTCACCAAGCCGGGCCCAGCTTTGCCTAAATCAGTCTCCAAGGCATCTACATGATGAGGAGTCAGGTTTTCCAGACGGCAAAAGAAAAGCCAGAGGCAGCGTCAGTGTCCCAAAGGTTTTTGATGCTACTGTGTTGTGACACTATCCTGGGAATTGCCTTCTTGCGTGGTCACACTGTGGATTGCCAGCCACACCTGTTTGGTTTAAACAAGCTTCTTTTGAGGACCTGCAGCCTAGGAGGCAGGGATTATCACAAGCCCTTTTTGCAGATGAAGAGACTGAGGCTCAAACAGGCTTGTCCAAGTCTAAGCGATTGAGGTGGGACGAAAATCCTGGTGGAATCTGGAGCCCACACTTCTGACTCTCCATCTCGTTGTCTCTTCCAGACGTATGTCCCACCATACATGTCCGTTTCCCACTCTGCCTATCAGGCCTGAATGCCACCAGGGGACCACAGTCGCTTGGAGACCTTCCAGGGTGGTAGGAGTGGCCGTAAAAAGGAATTCTCCTCTTTACACCAGATGGCGCTGCTAGCACGGTGCTCTCCCTCCGCTTCCATCAAAACAAAGACCCTAAACAGCCCTTCTCCTGGGCGGGAGTCCGCTGCGCAGGCCCACATCCTGCGCGGTTCTCCCCAGGGGGAAGAGTTCTTGGAGCCCACATTCCTCTGTGAGCTTAATCATCTCCTGCAGTTCCCAGAGGTGCCTCCTTAATTTGGGTTGTCTCGGCAGGCCTATAAATCCCAAACTCTCTCTTCCCAGATTCCTCACAGCTAGCCCCTGGGGAGAAGGGGGCAGCATTACCGACCTCATGCTGCAGACGAGGACACTGAGGCCCAGAGAGGCTTCGTGTTCGGTCCAGTGTCACACAGCTGGAAGAGCCCAGCGGGGGTCTGAGCCCAGGGCTGTCTGTGGCTGTTCCTCCCAGGGTGTTCACCACCCCTCCACATGCTCCGCCCACCTCCCCTCAGGCCCAGGAGGGATGGACACACCCTGGGGCCATGCCCCAGACCCTGGGCCTGCCAGCTCTTCATCCAGGCTGGAGCTCCCACCTTCTCCCTCTGCTGGGCTTGGAAGCCCCAGGGTCTACGCCTTCCCCTCCATCCCTGCCCACCCAGCCTGGCAATGCAGGGAATTACCTTCCTGTGTGGTCCTCCTCTCTGCCCCTCCAGCTGCCTCTACACCCTTCTCTTGCACTCTAGGGTCTCTGGACAGCCCCTGTGAGATCAGCCAGGGCCACACAACCCCAGGCAGGAAATTCCAGGTTCCAAAACGCCAGCGGTCCTAGCCCCCCGCCTTGCCCTGCCCTGACACTGCCAGCGCTGAGTGAGATCCCAGTAGAGTTCTCTCCTCCGGCACGCTCCCCAGGTCCCACAGGCCCCTCCCCCAAGAGACCCTGGGGCCCAGCCCAGGGCAGGACGGTCCACCAAGCTCCTCCCCAGCAGGGCATGAATCTTCAGGCACATCTGCAGGAGCCACTGATCTTGACCTAGAAAGTCAACCATACACACACACCAAGTCATGCAAGATGGGCCCAAGGAGGGAGGGGGTCAAATCCTTATTTGGAGGCACAAGTTATTGAAGGCTTGTCATGATCTAAACCCTGCGGAGAGTGCTTCACAGCTGTTTTCTCCTGTAACCTTTATACCAGCTCTCTTATTACCCTGCTTTGGAGAAAACAGTTTCAGGGAGGTGGCATGACTTGCCCAAGGTAGTCAGTATAAGCAGCAAGATTTGAACTCAGATCTGCCCAGCAGTCAACACCGGCTTTCTCCCTGTTACCACCACTTCCCCAGCTGGCCTCTCCGATTCAAGCTCAGCACAGCTCATTTTCTCCTGGCTTCTTGGCCCGTGATACTGGCTCCGGGCTTGAGGGTGCCCCGAGACCCTGGTGCGCTCAGCTGAGCACACAGATGTGCTCGTGGCCCCACTCAAGGGAGGACATGTGGCTAAAATAAACCCCAATTTAAAGAGAGGCGCCATAAATAGTTCTTAATTCTAACATATATTTTTTAATGACGCCACTTAGAATAAAACGTAAAGAAGCAGTAAATCCAGTGCCAGCACCCCACCTGAGCCCCTGCCCTCAGCACCCAGGGTCAGAGGGGCGTGGGCGGCAGACCTCCAGGGCGAGTGGGACCGGGGTGCACGTCAGCTCCCAGAGGGGGCTGAATGTGGTGACAGGGAGAAGTTATGGCCCCTGCACATGGCCTGGAGCCGGGAAAGTAACTGCCCCTCTCTAGGGCTCAGTCCCTCCTCTGTGAGATGTCTTCTCCCCAGCCAAGCCCAGCCCACTTTCTCCTTTAACTGCTGGAACCCTGGGGGGAAAGGTAAGGACCCCCTCAGTTTGCTTTTTTTTTAATGGCTGTACTGGGGATTGAACCCAGGACCTTGGGCATGATAAGCACTGGCCCTACCACTGAGCTATACACTGCCGCCCTGCCCACCCTATTACGTTTTTAAAAAGAACTTCACTCAAGAAGGCTGCAAATGAGTGGTCCCCAGGCCAGACTGACCTTCACAGAATTGTGCAGTATGTCTTTAAGTGGTTGCCAACATTTACCGATTGGGAAATTTTATCTAAACCTTCAGAGCTGTGCTTTCTCTTGTAGAATTGGGCTGGGCTGCATCCCTGGATGGCACCAGTGCCCTGGAGCTGAGTTCTGCTGCTCCTATAGGCCAGCGCACTCCCCACCACCCCCACGCACAGCCTGGGCCCCTCACCTAGGCTGCCTGTCTGGCTCTGGGCTCTCTGAGTTAAAGGGCCCCCCTAGGAGCCCCCCTCTCTTCTCTGACAATAGTGGGGAAGGGAAAAGTTGTGGGGCCTAGACCCTCTTCCACAACCCATCCGGGCAAGGAATCGAGCGAGAGGAAAACAGAAGTTGGGCTAGGGGCCTTGAGGGGAGGATGCGGCGAGGACGCCCGGGAAGAGGGGGCACTGAGGCAGGGATTGGTAATAAAAGATGGGGAAGGGAGGGTTTTCAGAAGAAGTGAGCCATGGTCAGCGGCATCCAATGCCAACGAGAGGTGGAAGAAAACGTGGACAAAAGCCACCCGCTCGAGAAGCCCCTGTGGGTCCCTGAGAGAGCCGTCAGGGGGCTAATGGGGCAGAGTATTCCAAGGGCCGACAGCAGCCAGATTTTTCACCCCTGTTTCTTCAGTGGAGCAAACAGACTCAGAGAGGACAAGGAAACCATCCAAGGGCATGTAGGCAAGAGGACCACCTGTATCCCCCCATCCTCCATCTTTCCCTAACCCCCATCTTGGCCCAAAATCAGGCTGCATTTTCCTAATTTCTCTAAGTCACTTTCCTCTTAATCTAGGCTCCCACCCCCAGGCCCAGGGCAGAGGCCAACACCAGCCAGATGCTCGGAAATGTCACCAGGGAGAAATGTGAGTGCCTGCGGGAGATTTCCGGCACAACAGGGCTGAGCCTGGCAGAGGCAGGGTCGACTCCCACCAGGCCACTGCTGCTTCCAACCCCAGAAGGACAGCTGCCAATTAGCCCAGCTCCTGGGCCGGGGGTCAGGCCCTGCTGTTAAGGTTGAAGGACCGTGAGGCGGGGCCTTCAGCTCTGAGCCCAAGAGGGTAGCAAATGTGGGTGGCTGGGAGCCAGATGGGGCGTCAGCTCTCACCAACTTGACACCCATGCCCCTGCAGGCCACCACATCTTCGTGGACACAGGGCTGCCTGACCTGGCCGTCGGGCTCATCCTGCTAGCTGGCTCCCTGGTGCTCCTGTGCACCTGCCTCATCCTTCTTGTCAAGATGCTCAACTCTCTGCTCAAGGGCCAGGTGGCCAAGGTCATTCAGAAGGTTATCAACACCGGTGAGCCCCAGGTAGTGGGGGGAGGGGGAGCGGGCCCCAGGATGCGTGCTTCTGGATCTTGCCAAATCCTGCACTGCCTTGCTGTGCAATCTGGGTAGAGCCCTATCATCTCTGAGCCTCAGTTTCCCTTTGTGAACAAAGAAGATGTTGGACCGGGTGATTCCTGAGGCCCCTGAGGTGCTGACAGCTGAGGATCTGGGGCTGCCTCCTGCTGTGGTTCCATTCTGGCAGGTGGCTCTAAAGAGAGTCTCAGAGGCTATTGTTCCATTCAATTAGCAAATAGTCGTTAAACCCCTACGGAGTGCCAAGCACACAGCTGTGATGTCAGGGATACAGAGGTGAGCCACACAGAGATGATTCCTGCTCTTAGGGGCCTCACAGCCCAGAGAGGGAGATGGCCAGTAAAAAAATAAATGATTGAGGGGAAATAAATTCAGATTAAGAGAGCAGTAACCACCAACAAGAAAGCAAAAATGGCAAATAGAGAGTACAGAAGAGGCTGCCTTCGATGGGTGGTCAGTGGCCTCTGTGTGGAGGTGACATTTGAGCAGGGACCTAAGTGGGGAGCAGTCAGACGTGGTTTCTGGGTGGAGGGAATAGCATGTGCAAAGGCTCGGAGGCAGGTCCCAGCTGGACAGGTGGAGAAGGGCGGGAAGATGTCAGCGAGGTAACAGGATGCAGCAGATCCCAGGCCCTGAAGTCTGTGCTCAGAGCCTGGACTTTATTCAGGGGATCAGGGGCACTTGGGGGTTTGGGGCATGGGAGTGACACCATCTGATTTTCATTTTAAGCCTCCTTCTGAGCTTTCAGGACACTGCCTGGCACCAGCAGAGGCCGCATGATAAATGCTGGAATAAGAGGCATGGTGGATCTATGGGAGATCAGAGTCTGCCCGGGGGCTGGAGGGCTTTCCAGAGGCAGTGATCCCCAGGCTGAGCCCCGAGGATGAATATTTAGGAGAAGGATATCCCAAGCAGGGGGAACAGCCTGAACAAAAGTGTGATGGAACTAGGCTAAGGGCCTTGAATCCAAGATCAAAAGAGGGCCAGGAGAAGTGACCTCAGTTGAGCAGGGGACTGATAGGGTCCCACTTGGAAGCTGGCATCCAACGCCTCCTCCCCAGGGAGAGTCCCCACTCCCTCCCAGTGCCCTCCCACTGACCCTACTGGACGGGGCTTTCCTCGCAGACTTCCCTGCCCCCTTCACCTGGGCCACAGGCTACTTTGCCATGGTGGTCGGCGCTGGCATGACCTTCGTTGTCCAGAGCAGTTCTGTGTTCACCTCAGCCATCACCCCACTCATCGGTGAGTCCCCACACCAAGGTGGGGTAGGGTGGGGCAGGGCTGGCAGAGAGAGGGTGGAAGGAGGGAACTGGGGAGACAGCATCCTCTCCTCTGCCCCCCAGGCCTGGGTGTGATCAGCATTGAGCGTGCCTACCCGCTCACACTGGGCTCCAACCTCGGCACCACGACAACGGCCATCCTGGCTGCACTGGCCAGTCCCCGGGAGAAGCTATCCAGCGCCTTCCAGGTACACTTGAGGGAGTAGCCCTGCCAGAGGCAGGACAGGGCTGGGACTGGCACATGGAGCCTCACCCAGCATAGGACAATGTGTACCAAACAGTTTTTGACTGCCTACTAGAGGCCACCTGCTATGCCAGACTCTACGGAAACCACACTGGCGAAGTGGACCTGGTGCCACCCTTAAGATTAGCGTCTGTCAGGGGAGATATTACTGAGAATCACACCAGTGAATAAACAGCAGCGGGTGGGGTTCACACTCTGAGGAAGAGGTGCTGTAAGAGGGGCCTGGCCCCGCCTGGGGGATCAAGGACAAGTGGAGGGAAGCAGCCAGCAAAGGGGTTGCTGGTCTAGGAACAAAGAAATAACTGCTGAGCCAGGTCACTGGCCACTCAGGGAGCCAGAGCTTCTGACCCAGAAACTAGTATGAATCTCTCAGCTGCTGGGTTTGTGCAGAGTTGTCTGGGGAATTCCCGAGAGAGGAGCCAGTGTGGGAAACTTGGAGAGTTCTGGGCAGTGGGTATTTACCTACTGGTCCAGAAGTGTTTCAGTATTTTCCTGGGGGCATGTCAGCCCTAAGTGGTGACTTTGCTGCCCAGACCACGTGGGGTCCCTATTGTCTGTCCTGACTCAGGAGCTGGGACCCTCTGCCCTCTCCCCTGCAGATCGCCCTCTGCCACTTCTTCTTCAACATCTCGGGCATCCTGCTGTGGTACCCAGTGCCCTGCACGCGCCTGCCCATCCGCATGGCCAAGGCGCTGGGCAAGCGCACCGCCAAGTACCGCTGGTTCGCCGTCCTCTACCTCCTCCTGTGCTTCCTGCTGCTGCCCTCGCTGGTGTTTGGCATCTCCATGGCAGGCTGGCGGGCCATGGTAGGTGTGGGCGTGCCCTTCGGGGCCCTGCTCGCCTTCGTGGTGCTTGTCAGTGTGCTGCAGAGTCGCAGCCCCGGGCGCCTGCCCAAGTGCCTGCAGACGTGGGACTTCCTGCCCCACTGGATGCACTCCCTGCAGCCCCTGGACCGTCTCATCACCCGTGCCACCTTGTGCTGTGCCAGGCCCGAGCCCCGCTCCCCACCGCTGCCCGCCAGGGTCTTCTTGGAGGAGCTGCCCCCCGCCACGCCCTCTCCCCGCCTCGCGATGCCTGCTGGCCACAATGCCACCCGTCTCTAGGCTCTGGCCCAGACTGGCTCCTGGAGCCAGGAAGGGCCTGTGCCTGGTGCCCTGGGTGGAAGGGCAGAGGGGTGTGTCTGTGTACTGTGGGCACGCACCTGTCCCTGTGCAGGTCCTGGGAGGTCTTGGCTTGTGTGGCTCAGGGTGAGTGTATGAGCACACATGGGCCTGTTGGGGTAAGCCTGTGTGTCAGCCTGCACATGTGTACCCATGCACCTGGCAGCGGGGTGCTGCATGCCAGCTGCAGGGTACTTTGCACATGCATTTGGAGGCCTGCGCTTGTGTCCTTGTGTACACACAACTCCCACTGGGCTGGGCAGGAGTAAGGGTGGGTCTGAGTACGTGACTCGCAGCTGTTTGCTTGTGCACGATGTGGGTGCCTGAGTCACTGGCTGAACTCTAGCCCTGTCCCTGCCACCTTCCTTCCCCCATGATACCACTCTCCTCATCCTCATTCAGGTTTTCTCTGTCACCGCTTCAACCCCCTTCCCCAACACTGCCTGATTAAGAAGAAGAAGGAAAAAAAAGAATGAAACTCATTGTGCACTTGGAAGTCTGTTTCTCTCCATCTAGCGGGGAAGGAGAGTCCACGGTTTGGGGTTCAGCAGCACTCTCTCCCTTCCCAAAGGCAGCCCGCTATGTCCTGGAGGAGCCCGCCTGCAGGCTCACCCTCACAATCCACCTGGCCCTACCTAATTAGTGCAATCCGCAGTTCAAACTCCCTGGAAGCCCCCCTTGGGCCACCCCAAGGCGAATGCAAGGAGGGCTCTCTGTACCTCCATCCCCCAACCCCACCAGGCTGACCTCCTCTGGTCTCTATCTGCCACTGGACTCACCCAGCTCATTGTCTGTCTGTCTCCCTCTTTCTGGGATGAAATCAGTTCTCCAGAAAACAAGTGACAAGTAGAAGCTTGTCAGGCCCACTGGAGGAAGGGACAGGGAGGGTGGAGTTGGGCAAGAGAGGCCATGCCCTGGGCCCTAGTGCACAGAGAGCAGGGACCAGCCACCTTCCCTCCCACCTTTGTCCTCTACCTTTGGGCCATAAACCAGACCTTATTTAAACCCACCCAACTTTTTCAGTCTCTCCTCCTCAATTCCTCTTCCCCCTTCCCTCAGCTGAGGCCTGAAGAGGTAGGGGGTGCCAGAGTTCCTCCCTCTAACCCAGGGACAACTCTGGGGCCTTTGAACCCCAAGGGGGCAGGAAGGCTGCAGGGCCTAAGACTGGGTTCTGGTGGTCTGGAACAAGTGCCTCCCCACCCACCACCTCCAGTTCCTTTGAAATTTGTTGGGGGAGATGCAAGGACCTGGGAGCCCCAGAAGCTGTTCTCCAAGCTCCCAGCACCACCCTGTCACCCATTTACAATGCTTGCTAGTGTTACCTTTGGCCAAGTGGAGGGGGTGAGGACACTGGCCTCTAGCCTGGGGAGTCATGTGGGAGGCTGGGGAGGAGACCTCCTTACAGTTTGTCCTGCACCGACTTGGGAAGAATTTTGTGGGAAAGGATACTCAGGCCTGAGCTAGAGGGTTTGAGAAGTCCACTCCCTCCTCAGTTTCAGTGTCCCTAGGACCCTGGAAGGCCCCAAGGCCCCCAGGATGGTGGCCTAAGGAGTGCGGCCAGAGGCCTCTGCAGGGCACCAATGGGAGGGCCAGGTGCAGGGCTCAGGAGGCTGGGATGCTTCTGGACTCATAACACTAGCCTCCCCAGGTAACCCTTCTGCAAGATTCATCTAGTAAACTGGTTTCCTCGTCTGCAACTTCCCCTGCCCTCACA